GAGATACCTCCGTGCAGAGCAGAAGGACCGGCAACACACCCTCAAACACTTTGAGCATGTGCGCATGGTGGACCCCAAGAAGGCCGCTCAGATTCGTTCCCAGGTACTCTCCCCTTCAAGGAACTGAAGTTTTTTTCGCCCAGACTTCACCTGGTGTTGTTGAGTTCATGCTTGGCATTAAGTGTCCAAAGTAACATGCAGTTGTTACTTGTTAATACAGCTTGATATATTTCTGGAGTAATTCTGGTTGAGATCCATTGGGGAACTAGAGTAGATCCCTTCTGAGCCTCCAACCAATTGGGTTTATGTTATGAGTCCATGTCCTTAAGAACCTACATACATGCTGCCTTAAAATACATGAATGGTACTAGTGGTTCATGGAAAATTGCACCAAAAATAATGATTTGACTTTTCAAAACACCTTAAATGCCACTGTAATTCTGGACTAGAAATCTAGAAATGAAATCTATTGCTTGGTCTTCTGAACCGGCACATGTACAGTTTTTCTGTCATCCTGTTAGGATTCAGATAGTGATGCTAAAAGTGGTGCATGTTTCCCATGAGTCCTTGGTGTTATGAAAACCTACAAAGTGGGTGATGAAATGCCATCCGGGAATTGCTATATAGCCTACGGACTTTGCCAACAGAACGAAAAGACTGATTGCTTCATTACTTATGGAAACACTGTAAGCCTTGTTTGGGCTTCTCGCTCAGGTTGGTGATGTCTCCTGAGGTTGCCTAATAAAGACCCTTATGAGTGATGGCCTAACTCTATCCCAGGTGTTGACCCACCTCCGAGTGATTGAGGAGAGGATGAACCAGTCTCTGGGACTGCTCTACAAGGTTCCCAGCGTTGCTAATGAGATCCGGGGTCAAGTCGGTGAGTGTGGTGATGTCCTCGGCCCAAATCCCTACTGCCTGTCTGTGTCTGAAACTGTTCACCTCAACATCTTCATGGTCCCGTAAACACCTCCAGATGGAGTTCAGCATTTGTCCGTACACCCCTCCGGGCTTCAGTGTACGTGCCCTTCAAAGCATCACCCTGATTTCCTCCTGCGCCCTTCACACCTTCGCCTCGCCCCCCCACCTCACCCCCCCACCACCGCCTCGATATTACTCAGTGAATCTGTGTCTCTTGTCGTCACAGTACCATCTGTGATGCTTTGTCCATCTGCTCCAGTCTCAGTAGCCCTTTGCCCTCCTCCTCTCTCTCCCCCCTACTCCTCCTACAGAGGAGCTGCTTCAGAGGGAGCAGGCCGAGGTCTCCCAGCAACTCTCCTCCCTGCAGAGCGAGGGCAGGATCAGCTACGGGAACGATGCCCTGATGCCGGACTTGCCAGAAAGCACTGCACCCTTGGATGCGCTGCCCCCTGAGAAGAATGGGCAGGTCCTGGATGGGTTAGGCTTCATCCATCCTGAGAGCTTCGGACAAGTGAACCAGGGTAGGCACAGTGAAAACTCACTTAGCCTCATGCTAACCATGCTTAATGCTAGAAATGGGAGCTATACGTTATGAATAAATATTTCACATTTTCCCTCTCTCCAGTTGAGCCTTTTGATGTACATCCTGCTCCTGACAGAGTCCCCACCAGACCAGGTAGGTGTATTGGTGAGAGGGTGCACAAGAGCCATAATTGGTGGAAACTTTCTGAAACTCTCTCTGCGTGTCCTCAGGCTCTGGACTGAAGCCTGGGACGATCCCTGAATTGCTTATGGAGGCTGAGGAGAGGGACAGCACTGGATATGAAGTCCACCATCAGAAACTGGTACGGCCATAAATGGACATGCATATGTTGTTAAAAACCCAGGTTATACGTACATCTACATGCCAAACCCATTTTAGACCTTTATACACTAGACACTAATACTCCGGTTAGTGCTCTCTTCTGGATTACCTCCTCTGGCCAGATTTACTCTTCTCCTGCCTCTGCTCTTCACGATCAGTGGTTGGTGCTCTAACACCTCATTGGTCCATATCCTCTGCCAGAAGTCCAGTATTTGGATTGTAAAATTGAGCTGAGAGGGTTCCAGCTCCCTTCTGCTAGCTGAGTTAATGAGGCGGCGGTGTCATGGTAACCGTGGCCTGCTGAGAAACCATCCTGTCTCTTGTTGTCCTGTTGTCGTGTTGTGACTCTGTGTCCATGTTCTGGGAATGTCTCTAACATCTACAGGAATGTGGCTATGAAGGTTAAAAACAGCCCTATTAAAAATGGTTATACTTCAGAAATGTGTTTGTTTTGGCTCTTGATGGCTTAGAGGAGCAGGTCTCTGCAGCATTCTCTGTTTGTGTGATCACTCCATCTTGTGTCTCACCAGGTGTTCTTTGCCGAGGATGTGGGCTCCAACAAGGGAGCCATCATTGGACTGATGGTGGGTGGTGTTGTCATAGCGACCATCATCGTCATCACCCTGGTGATGCTGAGGAAGAAGCAATACACTTCCATCCATCATGGAGTGGTAGAGGTCAGTTGTTTCAGTAGATGTCTTTTGCGGCCCGTAAATCTAGACACATTTTCCTCTGTTGTGGCCAATAGTTTTTTGTTTCTCTGAACTGCATTACATCAGTGTTGTCTGGCCAATGATGCGTCTTCTCTGAATACATCCACCCAATTGCCTCCAACAGGTTGATGCTGCGGTGACCCCTGAGGAGCGCCACCTTTCCAAGATGCAGCAGAATGGCTATGAAAACCCCACCTACAAGTTCTTTGAGCAGATGCAGAACTGATGCATCCCCCTCCCCCCCCATCAAGAGCTGCGATCCTCTGGCCCCAGCCTGGCCCAGTCCCGCCCCTCCCTCCATGCCCCCCGCTCTCATGCCCAGGCGCTCCGAAACAGGACAGCGTGGGCGGGGCTCTGTAGCCGTGGCGACACACAGCCTTCCGTCGCCAGGTGATGGTAGGCTGCAGGTTCTCCTTTGGCTGCTTCCCTTGCAGCTGGCACAGAAATGGCTGCTGGCAGTTAGTTTTGATGCAGTGGCTGTTTCGGCTTGCCTGTGTTAGTCAGCTGAAGCTCTCCCAGCTAGCCACCACTAGCGTGTCCTGCTCCACAGCTTTGCAGGATTTGGCCAGCCATATGTCCGCCTGAGAACAAGCCCCTCCCACACTGTCCTGCTCCACCCTCTCCCTGCTGCGCCTATAAACGCTGGGCACAAGGGGGCGTCCCAGTGTAAATACTCCCTCTCTCCTTCCTCTCACTCTTCTCTTCTTTCCTTCTGCATTTTGATTACAGCTGTGCTGTGTTGTCCTTGCCAGGTTCTTATTGGTAAAAGGCAAAGAAGAAATGTACACTTCAATGAGCTTTTTTATTTTTGAATTATTCTATTCTATTGATCTTTTTTTTTTTCAAAAAAAGAGAAAAATTCATGAAAAAACACTGACAGGAGTGTTAAAAAAAACTGAATGTTTTTTAATTTAAGTGTAATGCATATATGGCAGAGACTAGCTGTACTGTTTAGTGCATGACGTTCACCATTATAAAAATGTTCTGCTATTTGTACAGATCATTTCACATCTAGAGGTTGTGTAGATTAGCGGGATTGTATATTTAGTTGTGACCATGTGACTTTAAATGATTCAGAATCTGGTCTACTGTTATGGATACATGCTTTAAGAGATCTTTTAAGTATCCCCCTCTAGTGGTCTGAGGTGGGACTGCAGAATTCCAATGATGTTTTATTTTTCCTTCCTTTGGCTTCCTGTAATGTATCATTCAGGTTTCATTTTGGCTTACTATGCATCTTCAGCGTGTTATGTAGATGTTTCATCTTTAATGTGTTTTTCTCCGTGGGCTTCTGGGAGGGTTGCGTTTCCAGTGGTGGAGGTACAAGCTAAATGTTTTTCTCCATTGCTTTGTTCCTGTTAGTTTCAACATGAGAAGAAAAGCCATGTTTCTTTCCCTTTTGTGTCCTTTTCCTCTTCCTGTTTGCTTTGAAATTCAGGATGTGTGAGAACCAAAATCTGACCCTAACCACCAACTAGCCTTTTATCCCTCAGTCTGGCAGGAAATTAAAATTTTGTGACATCACCAACCCTGCCTAAAGGATTCTGTTGAACAATCTGGGTCTATCCAGTGTCTCTCTTAAACCCCACCCCCTTAATGTCTGTCCAGGTGTGCCAGAATGACAGCTGTGCCTCTCCTACCCCCCACAACCTGGTTTCTAACTGCTGTACTCATTTCAGGAGTGACTTTGTGTACAGTAATGAGTCAGATACTGTACATTAGGACAAAGTTAAACACTGAATGTAGCTATTTTTGCCAAACTCACACAAGTTCCCTCCCACTAGCCTCTGGAAATTTACCTACATGAGCAAAAGATGCTATTAATTGGCTGCCTGAAATTTTGAACAGATTTCAATTGGAGTGGTAGCTAAAGGAACTCTAGCTTGGAAACTCGCAGTAGATATGGGGTTATTTTGTGCAGAATATTGTGAAAGGAACTAAGAGCAGACAAGTCAAAATGTAACTCTTCACACTTCCACATGAACTAGGTTAGAAATGACACTGACGCCCACCTTAGGTAGCATTACTACTTTCCCTTACTGCCACCACTGATTTATTAAAAGAAAAGGCCAAAGTGCAAAAGCAAAAAAGAAAAACAGGAAATCACAGTCTTGGTGGGTGGAGCTTTGTGACACCTGATAGATCAACAACCAAAATTAATCCTCAATGGAAACTGATTTATAAACGGTAGGGTGCAGTATACATTTTCCTCATGTTTTGTGCAACTGTACAAACCATTTTCTTCAAGTGGGAAAGCTTTCTACGTCATATTACATAATAAAGCTTAAAATGTGAAACAGTCTCACTTCTGAATTTGTTAGACAAATTGCCTTTCATCTATATTCCCCTGCCATGGAACCAAACACCAGCTGGCTGTTGCTGGAGGGGGATGCTGACTATTTTCATGTGCATATATGAGGAAGTGAAAAGGCACAGTCCTTTCTGTGGTCACTGGGGTCATGCTGCAATGCAGTGCAGGAGGAATGAAATCTGACAAGAAGTAAGAAAAGACATGCCTCTTTATTGCCCCCCAGTGGACAGGAAAGGTCCATGCATTGGGGAAATGCTAAAAGGAAAAAGTACTTTTACAAACTGAAAATACACTGCCCTGGTGGCTATCAAAAACATATGTATATACAATGGAAATGCTGAAGCGGATTTGCCTCCTAACCTGAGTACAAGTCAAACACACCCTGGACACGGACCTGATCTCATTCACACTCACACACAAAGCCGGGCACTGGAACGCTCTCCTCCGCCAAAGGACTGATGTCCAACATCCCGAGAATGACGCCTTGCAAACAGTGGCACTCATACACACACACACTCTCATACACACTTCACGCTCTTCCTCTGCCAATCACACTTTTACAGACGCTTGGGGGAGGGGGGGGCGCTCTTCCCCACACCCCCCGTACCTCCACACCACCCATGATGGCTGCTGCTACTGCTATCCCCCACTCCTCCATCTCAGCTGTCCTTCTCGAGGGCGGCGGTGGCAAGCGTCACCGTGGTAACAGGCTGGGCCAGGCCATGCAGTTGCATGCGGGCCAGTTTCTTCTGCTCGCACTCCGTCACCAGGTGGTTCAGCTCAGCCGCGCTATAGCCAATCAGCGTCTTCAGGTCGCACACAAACTTGTATACGAACCTCTTGCCCTGCACCTTGCATATCATGTCCCCGTCGTAGTAATACCTGCAACAGCGGTGACAGGGAACCTCAAATACAAACTTTAACCTGCCACACATATGTATTGTGCTGCTTTTAAAGGCTACTATGGCTGTGGTACAACTAGCTTACTGGCTTCTTTTCTGTCACTAATTTTACAGAGTTTCTGAAGAAACAGGCCCCTGTATGTCAATTTTATAAATTTTCCTCACCCCAAGTTTACATTTACATATTTAGCAGATGCTTTTGTCCAAAGCAACATACAAGCCAGGCAAATGACACATTTCTAACATTCATGTCAAAGGCATAAGTCAAAAGGCATAAGTGCAGCTAGGCTGAGCTTCCGATAAAATACCAGGTGCAAGTCTAAGTAGTAGTGGAGCAGGAACTACACAATACCACCTATAACTATTAAAGTATGAATCTAATAAGACTATTCAAGGGCCAGTAAGTGTAACAGAAGGCCGTTCAAACAAAGAGAAAGGATAAAACTCCACAAACGACGGAGCCAACTTAAATAAACCAATTAAGGCATTAAGTGTCCGCGCACAGACCTGAGCGCACGGCTTAGCTTCTCGTAGTTCATGGTGGGCTTGTTCTTCCTCTGCCCCCACTTGTGGGCCACCAGCTCCGGCTGGTTGAGCTTGAACTCGCCGTCGTCTCCCACCCAGGAGATGCAGTCGCGCGCGTCCTTGTCCGTCAGCAGCTCCAGCAGGAACTGCCACAGCTGGATCTGCCCGTTGTTCCCTGAAGGGAGAAGAACGTGATGGGAGACCAGATTACACCCCTGACCTTACTATCCCGACATGTACAGTGAATTTTAACACCTCCCATCCAAAGGATAAGCCCCTGCAGTACTGGTAAATTACTTCCCCTGTTGAGAATCTAATTAGAACTCACCATTTAGACATCACTTCAACCCCCCCAAAAAATATTTTCACATAAATGCTAACACCCGTGAGGGAAAGGTCAGCCAAATACACAAACACCCACAATGTATCCTACTGACTAATCTAATCAGCACCTCTCTTCTTTACAAACAGCGTTAATTACCTGAAATAGCATCAGCGTTGTCATACACTTATTCTTGCTATGTGAGTTAGCTATGGATGTTTAAGAGGAGACGCCACCCCCAGGCCCCGCATCTGCCTACCTGTGCGGTTTCCCGGCGAGCTACGGTCTTCCCCGCCAGAGATGCGAGGGGATCTCTGTACTTTGCCCTGTTTAGTGGTCAGGACCTTGATGGTCCCAGTAGGGGTCTGCTGCACAGATGCCGGTATGATCTGCACCGCTGTGGTGGTGAAAGTACACAGGTCAAGACCAACAGTGTCACACCCAGAAAACATAGCCTGTCACACAATAGGAGACGGATGGAAATGCGATATGAAGATGTTGGCGACCTTAGCCAACCCTCTTGGGGGCAGCATTTCACCAGAAGATACCTCTCAGCCTCCAGCCCCAAAATCCCTACTTTAAAGCAGCAAGCAAACTCACGCTGATCAATGGTCACCGTGGCGATCTGGCCCGACTGGTCCTGACTGGCGAGCACGTCTGCAGAGAAAGTGTGATAAGGACCCTGAGCATGTGAACAGCGAAAGCATGTTCCTCCCAGCCTCCAAGCGCACACTGGCGAGACTCACACTTCCGCAGTAACTCCAGGTGGCTCCACAGGATCTCCCCGTGTGGCACCCTCTGGAGGAATTCCTCCTGGGAGAAGGAGCAGAGCTCCCGGCCCGAGATGTGGATGGTCCCCACGTCCACATCCACCATGCTGAACTCCTTCATCACCCACACCGCCCAGTGGATCACCTGGTCAGCGCTCCACTGGACTGGGTCTGAGGAGAGAGGTACAGCACACCCCACCCAAACAGGACGTTACCATCATATTTCACACGTGTGCACACAGACAGACACAATACACAGTACTTACCATGAAAAACCAACACACAGTATTACCAAAGGTTACACATAAATCATGACAGCAGATGATCACATTTGCTTTCACCGTCTTGTGACGTCATACAGATCATTAACGTCACAGTAGGGCAGTAAATTTAACAGCCGGAAAGTGTGTGTGTGTGACTGTTAAAAAAAAATTATATATCCATTTTGTAGGCTGTGTCACATATTCAAACAAGCATTTAGTGAACGCTTTTTCTACCTGTTCCCTGGATTGTGCTCAAAAGAATTTTCAGAAAACAAATGAGAGATTAAAAGAATAAGACAAATAATAAAAAAACAAGATAGCCCTCTCTGCACGTTACACATACAATGAACAATACATTGTGCCTGTTTACTCCTTGATCACGCATCAGGAGGACAGGAGGTGCCCAGCCGCTCCCTCCCTCTCACCGTAGGGGATGCCCAGCCGGACCTGCTCCTTCCTGTAGCCCTCCAGAGCGGCGGCCCAGCGGGTCACTTGCTCCGAGGTGTCGTCCGCGATGCCGGAGCGGTCCAGAGTGATGACCTGCCCCTCCTCCACCAGCTGGCCCTCCTCGCCCACCGCAGCGTCCGGGTCGATGACCACCTCCACCGTCTCGACCGGCTTCACGATTTCCAGGATGTTCAGCTTGGGCTCGACCCCTGCCCCAAAAAGGAAAGGGGACACACTGGCATTCTACTGACCATTGAAGAGGGAAGTGCTGGACAGTGGAAAATATTTGCTTGACAGAGGCTTCACAAACTATACAGTCATAAGTTATTAAAATTATATTATAAAACACTTGGGGGGGGCAATGTTACAGGGGTGTCTTACCTTGTCTGGAGATGACCTGCACACTGAGTTGGACTGTGCCATCTGTTTTCACTCCCTGATCAAACAAGCTTTGGTCGGGGTCGAGCTGCAGGAAATCAGGCATAACCATTAGCTTCCCAGCTCAAATCCAGTAGTGACTCACAGCAGCCCAAACACCTGGGCCAGTTACCTGTATGTCCTGCAGACAAATCTCATGCCCATCTAAGGAGCACTGGAGGCGGGGCTCCAGCAGCTTCTTCAGGTTGCCGATTGGCTCATTGATGTCAATGGCTTGTGTCACAAACTCCGCAGCTGTCAATGTCTGCTCCTCTACCCTAATCGGGGAGAAACAAAAACAGCCTGAAATAACTGGAAGGGAACTGAGGATGATACCGTAAAGACACTACATCACTTGTTTATATAATATCCAAAAAGGCAACAAAATGCAGCGAGGGATAAAGTCTGTGCCATCCAAACAGCACCTTTCACATGGTTCACTCAACATCTTTGTCACCAACCATAATCATTCAAAACTGTCTCAACATACTTCAGTTTATTAACTGGTCTATGGGGCTTCACAAGCTGCTCAATATGGCTTTAATAGTCAGATTATACCCATAGTCCAAAGGAAGCACAGACCAAACAAATTACATTTTCTACATCATGGGGATACAGACAGAAACACAAACACCCTCACCCTTCCTCCATGCATTCCTGTTTCTCCTGTCCATCAATTTCTATTTCTATCAGCTCTTCTGTGTCGCCTTTAGACATGGCTGAAGCAAATCTGTCCAACAAAGAGAACAAATGATTATTAAAAACACACCTTCTTCTGTGAACAAACAAAATGTATAAGTCTAGCAGTATCGTTTTAAAATATTTAAAATGTTTCCAAGCAAAGAACATTTTACTATAAGCCAGGTAAAAACCTTGAACCATTTAAAACAGGGGAGATTAGACTAGATGCCGCAATGCCGAATTTTCGGGAATATGCAGTACACCCCATGTTAATCCATCTGTTAAAATTACAACTCATTATATTACTCCAATGCATGGAAAGTAACCGTCAAGAAAAATATTTCGATAAGGATAAATACACTAAATTCTAAGGGACCAGACGATTTATTATAATTAAAAAACATAGTCAAACCTTGCAAACGGATCTCCCATTCCGTCCTTTGGCGAAATGTTTGAAATTCCCAGTAATCTTCAATCTCCGAAATGGTCAACTTTTAAAAGCACGCACGTTTTAAGTGAAGGCATCTGGATGCAACCACCACCCAGACTATGGACACTTAAGGCACCATCAGCGCACGCTTCTGCGTTTATCCGGTGATGCACAGCGCTGCCCTGACAGCGTGGAACTGCGTACGCAACGCCGAGGCTCCCCGGGATCGGGCAGGCCCCGCACGGCGCGCCTTCTGCTTTCCGTGGCACAAAATGCGCGAGCGGGTGGACAAAGCGAGTCCTGAAATGGGCTGCTTGCGAGAGGCAGGCCTGCATTCAGCCCACGTTATAAATTTCACCCCGTAAACACATGCAACGGGACCCCCGGTGCTACAGTAAGGGGGGCGCTGAGTTTCGGGCGAGCTGGGCAACCGCACCCCATCAGAGCGTCCAGGTGACGGAACAAAATGCCCACATTCCCGGCCCCATAGCAGCCCAACGGCGGGCAGATAATCGCCTTAAAAAGTGGCAAAAATGCGACATCTCCGCTTCCTTTCTCTCAGCCCAGCCGCCTTGTTTGCCGGACTTTATTTTCAAAAGTGCGTAGTTAAAGAAACGGAAATGGAAGAAACGGAAACGAAGCGAAGTCGGGTGATGGAGAGCAGGCCGGAAATCCTGGCGGGAGGCAGCGGAGGCTGCAGGAAAGGCGTCGGGCGCGAAGGGAGAACCGAAAAAAGTTTACAGTTTTATTTTATCATACGTGCAACTTTCATGCGTTTACTTTAAATATATTATCTAAACTCTGGAAACTGGTCGGAAACGAAAAAAGTCGCGAAGAGCTCTCAACATTTCGGCAATTGTGATAAGTGTCTTATTGTTGGATAAGGCAGAAAATACTACGTATCTCAGTAGCGAAGTGTGCACTTGATATTTAAGAGCCACCAAAACGCGCCTTATATCATTTAAGCTGCTGGCGAAGTGAAATGCATATCAGCGCTGTAGCTGCAGCTAGCCAAACAGCTAGCTAACGACACACCGGCTAGTCGCTTCTCTCCGCCAGTTTGCCGTTTACGGTTTACCGAGGCTAACTTGGGAAATCTGGAGGCCCATTAACTCGGAGGGAAATACGTAGAAATCGGCATTTTATGCTAACTAGCCAGCACTTTCCCCCACACAAACTACATATCGTCAGTATAACAATCGCTAACTGAACTTGGATCTAAGACTCCCGACTAACTCGGCTCTGGTGGGGACAGGAGAGTGAGTTATAAATAGTTAGTAGCCGTGCAGAGCTCAGACAGAAACACTTTTCACGTACCTTTTCTAGAAAACACCACAGATTTGATGCAGATATCGCAGTCGCGTAAGTCCCCCTGCGAAGGTAAACTCCGTCAGTTTGCTCTGCTTCTGGCCAGAGGGGGAGGGGGATAGCCAAATAACATTATAAACAAGCATTTCTTCCAAAATAGGCGACGGCTTCAGCAACATCAAGAACCACACTTAATGGCATCGAGGCAAAATGTAGTTATTAAAGTGAAATATACGCAATAGCGATTACTACGCAAAAATTAAAACGTTTAGTCGGAGGATATTATTGGACTACGTTTCCCAAGAATCCCGGCGCGCTTTTTTGGTGAAGCGATACTATAGTCTTTGGAATTAAAGTATAAAGCAAAATATCAATTCATAGTTCAATACATATTAATGCAACATATGAGATAATTTCGCAAACAAACATGATAATGCATGTAATAATATTTGGAAAACAAAAGTTGGAAAAAAACGTAATTTCCTGTGGAGTTTACCCAAAATGCATTGCATATATGTGTGTCCATGGTTCATGTAGTTTTTTCGCCCCGGTTTTAGCGACTGAAAAAATTGCGCCAAACAGTAGAAATTTGCTTTAGTTGAACATCTACTTACGACTGATCTATTTTAGTATTTTGTTATCGTAAGCGGCTTATTGAACCTAATTAAACAATAAATGTTTTATGGTTTGATGTCAACATAATATAGAATTAAGGCGCATATTATGAAATGCATTGAATTTGAATGATGTACAATGGAATTCATATTTATTAAATTCATTACACGTAGGGCTATTAATTGACTCAAGTAGAAAGTTGCAAATGTTCTATCAGTTGGTTGTCTATAGTACAGTTTTCTTTGCAGTGGTGTGTAATTGGGAGAGCAACATCATAGCAAAAGACAAAAAGAGACTGAATACAGGCGTGTTCACACATGGCTACAAAAATAACAAAACTGTTTCTTGAATCCAGAGTAAAACCAAACATCCAATATCAATAAAATAATGCTTCTGAATCAAAGTAGGCCTATATCTCAACAATTAAAACAATGTCCAGCAGACTAATTAGAACAGTGATAAAACAATAAAATCTTAGCCGCTTAACATTTAAAATGTCATTTTCTTACATTCTTTCACCAATGATTTTTCAAATGAACATTTTTAATTGTGAAGAAAAAATAGCATTCAAATATACTGTGTATTATGTGCCAACTAACCTCGCTCTGTATGCACTTCATGATAGCAAGTTGGCATGACTTCGCAGGCTTTCATATCTTAGGAAAAATATAGTTAATCCCCATCTGTGTTTGGTATAATTTATTTTCAATATTTTAATCAGATACATGTAAAAATTAGACATTTTGCATGAGGTATTTCTTTGTTTTGATGATAAAAAAACACAAAAGTGCTATTTAGCAGTGTGCAGCCGTCCAATCTCGATGAGATGGGAAAATGTAGTTCATGTGGACATCTTCTAATGTTGGATTTTTGCAAAAGCTCATTCTACGCCCTTAGAAATTATTCTTGTGCCAACCAACCCCGGTCCCCCCTATCATGTTCTGTATATGTTGTGTGTACTCATAGAGATAGAATGAAGACCATGATGATGTTTAACAGCTAAGGGACTGACTTTATATTAAAATGTTAACATACACATAAAGAATTTGCAGTAATGATTTTCATAAAGGAACTTTAAAACTGCACATTTTTCATTATATTGGAATTTTTACCCTAGTTTTGATTTCACCCCATCAAATGCTTTGAACTGTACAATACATAACAAGTAACACTTTTTTTAAGAAAATGGATTTAATACTGATTCCACATCCAAGAGTTCTAATGGAGATAAGTTCTTCCTTAACAATTAATTCATACATTCAAGAATTACTTAAGCAGGTCACTTCAAATCAACAGTGTTTCAAATAATAAAAACATATATACCATTCATCATCGATGTCCATTCCATTTATAGGTAAAGTATAAGCACGGAATGAACACTGAAAAGAAATCTCCCTGTATCACACTTACGCATTTTGCAAATCGCCAATCAACATCTGACGTTGATTCGTTTTGTGCTGCATACTTGAATTATTATAATTGTCTCTAGTTACAGGAAGCAATATTGAAAGGATTATTTTAATGACAGCTTCTGCATAATTAATCACACTTTAAAAAGCTCAACAGTACATTTTTCACACAGGTATTTAAATCAGTCAGGGACGTTTTTCATTAGGGTGATTGGTTGTGCAAAGATTGAACGGCTTGTTTTATGGGCATCCCGCTAGATGGCGACAGAACCTTCATCCAGTGGTACAAATCTATATGATAGGATGCATACGAGGGCATCTGTTCCATCTTGTTGTCCATCCTCCATGCGGTTAAGTCAAATACCACAATGTGTCTGATTTATTGGCAGAGATGGGCTTGGTCAGTCATTAGTGGTTTGATGTTCTGCTGTTTCCATGGGAACGGAAGATGCAGTCGTGGGTCACAGCATGAAGGATTGAGTATGTTTGAAGTCCTGAGACTACGGAGAAGAAAGGTACACTTTAAGTTCTTGACTTCTCAGAAGCAGCCAATCTCACATCAGTTGGGTCTCACCTGCATAGCAGGTCACGCATATTCCCATGAAAAACATCTTCTTACACAGAAATGAAAAAGTAAGTATATCTGTCAGAAGTCGTTGAAGGTATGTCTTCTTCCTCATTTGATTTTAAGCTGAATTTATGCCTTGCAGTTCACATTTTAAGAACAAAGGGAATGTGATAAAACAATATGGAAACTTACGCGTTGTCCTGAGTAGCTGTACATCTTATTTCTGGAGGAAAAAATACTTTTTTAAGCATACCTTTCATAAATAATTTAAATGACATCATTTTAGGAATTACTTTGCTGTGGGCCTTTTGTTGAAGCAATTAACATCTGCATAGATGTCATTTTAGCAAAGGAACATGCATGCAAACACACCTCACTTATTCCTCAAACTCTCCAAGTTATGTGCCTGTAGCCCCTGATCTTCATTATTTTACTCTTCTATTTCACACTGTCTGTCTCTGCTTGAGAATCATGTTATAGCATAGCACAGATACAGCATCAGGGTGACATGCTTCCAACATGACAAAGTCAAATTAACGTTATAGTGTAATAGTGGTATTATTATACGACTGGTGAACTGATTTTGCTTTAAATCCATTCTAATTTGGTACTTCATTTTAACTCCACTTCCAATATAAGGGCAGAAATGTTTCTGGAATGTTCTTCCTGAGTGATGTTAGATCTAATCTGGTTAGAGAGAGCAACAAGGTTTTTACCGGTTTTCTCTGTGGTCTTCTGCAAAAAAAAAAAAAAGAAAAGTGAAAATAATTAAACCCACAACTATCCACTTCAACGTGTCTATAGTGTTTATCCACATTAAAAGATGTCTCTCAGAGGTTCCTTTAACAGCTGTACAATTCTTTGTTGCTGGTGTAGCCGATGCATGTAGACGGCAGACTCACTCCTGCAGATGCGCTTCCGACGTGCATAGAAAAGCCCCAGGATGCACAAGCAGACGGCCAATATGGTCCCAACAGCGGCAGCGGCAATCAGAGGCACATTTAGGTCACCTGGCAGACAGAACAATTCACCTGTTTGCTTCGCAGTGGCTTGGCTAAAACTCAAACACACACAATGCACTCGAGCAACCTGGATTTGTACCCGGCTGTCAGTCCTACACACCTACCGTGTGTTCCTGTGAGCCAAGTGGTTTTGCAAGCAGAGACTGTCATCACCAAGCATTACATTTAAATGTATCTATTTGGCAGACTTTTTGTCCAAAATGATGTACAATTGAGGAAAGACATAAAGGTCCCTGGATCAGTTGAGGATAAGGGCCCACAGGCATATGATTACTCTGCCAGTTATAGGATTTGAACCAAAAACCTTTCAAAGAGGGACACTGTCAACCCAATCAGAACATTTCTCAAGAACCTCAAAATGTTTTTCATGACGTCTCATTGATGCCAGGTGCCAATAATTTAAGTGACGTGCATCAAAGAACTCACCGATCAGCATCTCCTGCGCCTTGCAGCTCTTCGGCATTCCCACCCCATTCTCCGCCTCGCAGTGGTACAGTCCAGAGTTGGACCGGGAGACTGCCGAAAAGCGCTGCCTCAAACAGGGGGGGAGGTGAGGAATTGGACAGATTACATTTACTTGGTTTATGCAATGGTCTTTCCATAATACCTTGATAATATACTGAGAAGCAATTAAACCAATAACCAACCAATTAACTACTCCTCCCCAGCAGATAGTTTTAGCCAAAATTCAATTTCAGTTAGAACTCCACAGGTTTGTGACGCTATATCAGGACACATAAGAAACAGTGCTACTTATCACTCATTCTGTAAATGAAAGGAATGGTTTGTCAGTAATCAAACTTGCATACATTCTAACAGATTCATGCATTTCTGTTTTGTTTAACTTGTCTTGTTTTGTGCTTTGTGTTTTTATAAATATTATATGTGCTTTTGTTTTTTGTTTTTTTAGTTTAGACTGAATTCCATCCCATCAGTGATGCACCATAACCAGCAATCGTGTTTGCCACCACTGTAACCACACATTTGCATGGGGCCCCTGAGGTTTGGGGGCCACAAGTAATCACTACATTGGTAGTTACTCTGTAGTAACTTTTTAGGGGGCGCCGCAGAAAACAAACCCGCCCCTGACTGCAACGTCTTACGAATCTAATAGATGTGATCTATCATTACAAATGTACTTACATTAAGTTAATATCACATAAGTGCTACATTACTCGGTATATTCCGACTGGAGGCTAAAGGAAATAGGACTGGATGCTTCCAGAAGCTTCACTTCTCACCAGGGTTCCAATGTTAACGTCTAGGGTGTAGTTCATGTTGGCTGTGCCACTGGGCCCGAGCGGCTTGTTGTCCTTGAACCACTTGTATCTTGCGCG